CTATAAAGATCATACTACTATACTATTTATCTGGCACGGAAAATGAATCGCCAATTCGACAAATCGACACTTTATCGCTGACGTTGTTAGGATCGAATAAGAAGACATTATTATGTATTTCAAGGGTCCTATGTTCCGATCCGATCGTCTCGATCTTTATACCCTTGCAGACCAAAGGGTATTATAATTTCAGTCAGAAGTTTGCAACGCAGTGAAGGAGACACCTCAGACCCCTTAAAGTATATATATTCTTGATCAGCATCACGAGCAGAATCGGAATACGTCTGTACGTCTGTCCGTCTGTCCATCTGTCCGTCTCTCAGTTTTAAAGCTATCTTGCTGAAACTTTCCCAAAAGTTGTGTAGTTATTGCACGCAGTATATAAGTCGGAACATGCCGGATCGATCGACTATATCGGATAGCTCCCATACGAGAGAATGAAATAAAAAATTCTCACGCCGTTGTTTTTGATCAGATCGACTTGATTTCTTCAAGATGGCGTTTTCGAACTGCTATCGAATTTCGGATTAAATTTGATCAAAATCGGATAACTCTATCATATAGCTGCCAAAAATGTATATAGAATCAATGGAAATAGATTCAAAACATCGTTGTTTTTTATCCCACGAGCATGATTTTTTGAATATCAAGTTTTTTAACAACTCTTATACTGAGAAAAAAGTTTCATAAAAATCCGACAACTATATATTATAGCTGCCATAGAAAAGATCGAAAAATCTATATAGAAATAACGGAAATAAAATTATAACATCGTTGTTTTTCATCGGACAAGTATGATTTTTGGAATATAGAGTTTTCTTACGACTCTTGAATTACGAATTAAATTTGATCAAAATCGGACAACTACATCATATAGCTCCCATATGATCCATAGTCGAAAATATGGAAAATGAATAGAAAAATCGTCTTAGCTTCGATGTTGTTTAACCTTTATGTATTTTGTTCGACATATTTGATGACTGCAAGGGTATATAAGCTTCGGCTTGCCGAAGCTAGCTTCCTTTCTTGTTGAAATTTTATACTTGAATAATAGCAATAAAAAATGTTGTGCCACATTTTTGACAAAAATTTGTAAGTTTTTTGTGTTGTGTGTTGGTGGTTTTATTTTAGAAACACGCTTAAGCTGTAAAGTTAAGTTCGATTTTTTATAGAGTACAATATCTAATGGATATTGGTATCCATCTTCGCCATCTTTAAATTTTAATAAATTCGCATTAAGTTGTTCAGATTAGGTCTGAGTGGGATGCTTGAGAAACGTTGCTTAAGTTTAAATAACATATAAAAACTTAAGCTATTTAGTCAAAAACAAGAATTTCACCAGTTATTATGGATTTTAAAGTGAATAAGCAAATTTCTTGTCGGGGACCGCCCTATCCTCCCCAACATTTCCCCAACAAGTTCCACCGAATCCGGATTCATCCACCCCAAAGGGTACATTAATGTTGAGAGCACCCTGCCATCGCTGTACCACGTATCCTTTTCTCTACGACGGTGATGGGATCCAAGTCCCCGGGCCAGTAGCCCAGCCTTTCATCGCACTCGGGCTGGAAAACACACGCTATTTGCCTTTCAGGCTTTCTGTCAATGATGCTAGGCAACGAATTGAAAAATCCAAGCTCACAAAATTGTGTACAATTTTCTGTCTATTTAACTTTTATGGATGTGGAGCCAGCCAGAGGTGGTGAAGAAGAGTCTACGAGGTGGCTTGCGGGCGAAAGGGGGTTGGGCGTTGTTGGGCGTGCGTTGAAAATCCCTTTGCCAGTGCCCACATAAAGAAACATAAAAACCTTTTCGTTTCGAAATATAGAAAAACACAGCGTAAGCAGTGCGCCGTCCCTGCCCCATTCGTCCTCAGCTCCGAGACGGTTGTCAAAGTTTACGTTTCACTTCGAGTGCGGTGTTCTGTTTTATTTGTTGGTGCTGCAGCAGCTTTGAGCACGTTGCCGAAGAGAGGGGTTGGGGGAGGGCGGGGAAGCGTTTGTTTTGGGGTGGCTGTGCCCTACAAAACAACCTTTTGGTGCAAAGAACACACAAGAGCAACAAAAACTACTGCGTCGGCGACGGCATCGGTGCCTCGGTGACTGGTTCTACTCCGGCGGGTGTGGGGCGGAACCACAGTTACGTAAATACGAAAATCCGATATTACGTTTCCATTCGTCGGCCGTACAAGTGTGTGTGCCTGCTTGTTAGACAAGAGCTGCGCTTTGGCGCTGCACTCAAAGTACGAAAGCACGGCAGCAGGAGATGCAGCAGCAACTGTGAACGCAAACCAAAGCCCTCTTTTCGAATCCTTTTACAAAAACACTACAAACCGAAAACCGAGCGAGCGGAGCACTCTACAACAAAAAGTTGAAATGGCAAACTCAACCTAAAAGACAAGTAAATTCAAGTCTCGAAACGGACATGGCACATGGATGGGGAAAAGATGCAAGGATAGATTTTGATGCAGCCATCTGCCACACCCCGTATAAAACATGCCTAAAAGTTACTTCTATTTAATGCGGAAAGACTTTACCTGATTCACCGAATAAAATTGTATTAATTAATTTCTGAGCAAGGTTGCAATCAATAAATAAACCTCTGGCTAAAGCTTTAGCTTTTTCTACTCAGCACCAAAAGCATGTATAAACTACAGCTTTTATGGTTTTCGAGCTCATGTCGTTCATATTGATATGACTAGATCAGCTCCTCTACTTATTCTGATTGCTGTTCTACTGAAATTATTGCTGTTTTTAAACATCTTAACTTCAGTCAGGAGCTTGTAACGCAGTGAAGGAGACATCTTAGACCCCTTAAATTAGATATCTTCTTGATAAGCATCACGATCTGAATCGAAATACGTCTGTCCGACTGACTGTCCGTCCGTTTCTATGTATTCTAGTCTCTCAGTTTTAAAGCTGTCTTGATTAAACATCACCAAAAGTTGCGTAGTTATTGCCGACTATATCGGATGGCTCCCATACGAGAGATTGAAAAAAAATTCTCACTCCGTTGTTTTGGATTATATCGACTTGATTTCTTCCAGATGGTTTTTTTAAATACTATTGAATTTCGAATTAAATTTGATCAAAACGGATATAGCTGTCATAGGAACAATAAAAAAAATATAAATAGAAATAATGGCAAACAAATTATAACGTCGTTGTTTTTTATCTCACGAGCATGAGTTTTAGAACATCGAGTTTTTTACTTCCCATCAATCGAGGCAAAAATTTCATAAAAATCTGACAATTATAGCTGCTATAGAAAAGATCGAAAAATATATACATTTATAAATATATATACATGTATAAAAAAATTTTAACATCGTTGTTTTTAATCCCACGAGCATGATTTTAAAAATATGGAGTTTTTAATAATACTCGATTAGCTGCCATGGAAAGATCGAAAAATCTATATAGAAATAACGGAAATAAAATGATAACATCATTGTTTTTCATCAGACAAACACCATTTTAAAAATATACAGTTTTCCATCGATTTTTAATTACGAATTAAATTTTATCAAAATCGGACAACAATATATTATAAATATGAACAATAGTCGAAAATATGGAAAAATAATATAAAATCGTCATAGCTTCGATGTTGGTTAGTATCTACGTATTTTGTTCGACATATTTGATGAATGCAAGGGTATATAAGCTTCGGCTTGCCGAAGCTAGCTATCTTTCTCCTTTTTTGAGCGGTTTTGACTTATTTAAAAAAATTTTACTGTTTCTAGGGCGATCGTAGTCTCAGAGTTTAATGAAAAGTAGTATCTGTTTATTTTGTTGTTGCGTACTCTTAATCCATATCTACACGTGATACTAGTGATAGAGTTGTATAGGGGTGACGAAAAATATTGAAAATCTAAAGTACAGAAATGAATAATAACCAAACAGAGAGAAGTAAGGCTTTCATGTTTATTTCATATAACTTTTTACTTATTAATTCATATAATTCAAGTTTCTACGACTTCAATCAAAGCGTCCTATTAAACGTATTATAAAATTAAGTTTTTGCTGAAAGAGTTAACAAAATTTGACTTGCTTACATTTTTTAAACTTGTTTGTTTTTTTTCATTTTTTAATGCTAACTTTATTTGTAACCGTAGTTAATAAACTTTTTAATAAAGTTATTTCCTAGCTACCACTCTAAACCCAATCAGCTCCAAATAAACCGGGAGCTCCTTCCGAAGGGATAGCAAAATAAGTGGCAACAACGATGGAGGAACATTAACAGACACACAAGTTTAGGGCCAGGGTAAAATTTAAATACGCGAAATAAGCAAACGCGCTAAGAAATTCAAATAAGTAAGACCTGGTCGATGTTCTTAAGCCTTCTGTCCTCTTCAGCAGGGGGAAGTTGGCCAGGACCAGACCTTAGCGGCGGTTTTAACAGCAACAGTGTTAACAACCAGAACTGGGGAAGTAGCAGCGACAAGCAAAGGTTTCTCTGTGTGGGTTGCCTGTGCGTGTTTGGGCCAGCGTACATCCTTTTCGAGGAGAAATTCTGTCACGGGCTCCATATTCAGCTCCCAGTCGGGGTCCATCTTCATCCGCATGGCTTCTGCATCTCTACTCCAGCTCCTCCTGACTGCTGCCGCTGCATTATTCATGTTTGGCAGCCGGCCAACGGCCCGAGCCCCCCCGGCATGGCTGGACGGGTCGGAGCTTGGCGCACGGGGTGGCGGACAAACTGGGGTGAGAGCGGCGACAACACACCACGCCCTCTCCGGCCACTGGCTAAACGCTAGAACGGGAGCGAGCTAGTAACGCAATCAGCTGAGAGCGCCGCCATTTGCCGCGACGGGAGAGCTACTCGCTCAACGTGCGAGCGAGCAGGCCGGCAAGACTCGCACGGCACCGCACTTTCGCTCTCACTCACACCGGCGCGCGCACCCCACACACACACTCACACACCGCACACAGGGCGATTGAGTTTTCGGCTTGAGACGCCGCGCTCAGATTGCTTCCAAACATTCCCAGTTTCTCAGCTGCGCTGACTGGTTGTCCTCGTGCCTCTGAGTTGATCGGTTGCGGGCTGATATCGGTAATCGGAAATCGGAAGTTTCGAATGCGAGACGGATTTTATTTGGACGCTCTACGCGAGCGGAAGAACAACAACATCGATAGAGCTGTCGCGGGTCGGGACTTTGCGTTTAACTTGGGTCTGCCCGGGGTCTCGGTTTGCCAAAATAGAGATTGTATCGACCACAAACTTTATCTGCTGCATATTGAGCTATCAACCTTGGGTTGAAACAGCCGACTGGGAGCTGGCTAAGCGGACAAAAACTAAAGCTGGATCGTGAGTCGCCTGACCATAAGCAGCACTACGCAGCGGAGGGGTCGAGACCGCATCCGCCTCTCTAATGCCTTATCGGTAGCACGCATCGCCGACCGCCGCAGGAAGACCCGACAAAGGGCGACCTCTACAACTCAATTTGGATCTTGTGTGCTATTCTCGCGCTGTCTCGTAAATTAATGTCATAAATAACTTTAAACTCTGTCCGCTGGCCGCTCGTTGTCACCGTCCCGAAGTCGACTCGCCGCCTGTGCGGTCGGGGCCCAGAGACGAGACGGTCCCTAATCGATCTTACCATCCTACCTATCGCAGAGTCAAGTGTTTCAGTGAGTGCTCCGTGCACGCTCGTGTGTGACCCTAAGTTCCTTAAAATACCTTGATGTTAAAGCGAAAGTTAATTAAATAAGCGCCAGCAAAATTAGTATTTATGCAATAAGAAAAGGCATACCAACGGTGCCGGTTTCAAGACAATTCTGAAGTTATGCTCGCCTGCCAACGGCCAACAAATCGCGACCAGTGTCAAGTGTCCTTTCGCATAACAAGACCAATCCCAGAGGATTATCCAGGACCAACGTAGCACCGCAGCTTATCCGAGGAGGCGCAAGGCTCGCAGAACACTCCGCTCAGTCAAAACAACGACAAACATACCACGCCCGACGGAAATCATCCTTGGAAATAGACCTCGTGTCATTCCAAAAGACGCACATGGGCGTCTGCACCGAAGAGCGCCCTGTGATGCATTGGGTAAGTTGCTCCGCTGGACTCCAAGAAATCCGCGGCAGCCAGCGATAAGCCTGACTAATTCATGCAGCATTCTGCCCCAACTCATCTTAACGCCGCCCTTTGTGATTAATCTCGATCCGAGCCCGGGTTACTCGGAGTTATCAATGCCAGACCGAAAGCTAGCCCAAACAGACAGCTTCGCACAGTGCTGATAAGAAACCCCCTTGGGTTTTTAGGTTTCATAGAATTGTTATATATTTTTTAATCTGTGAAATTGTTGTGTGCAATCGCTTCAAGAGCGATAACAAACGATCAGATTCGATTCCTGACTTTGTACATCTAGTAGTGCGTGTACCACATCGACTTCTTTATTTTAAGGATGAATAAGGATTTAACGCTTCACAGGTTTGAAACGAACATAAATAAATCCGGTACCAAGCAACCAGTGCAAATCGTAAGAACAACAACACGATCTAAATCGAACTAGATGTGTACATACGTCTATCAGTCGCCTGTTTCTATGTAAACTAGTCTCTCAGTTTTAAAGTTATCTTGGTGAAATTTTTTCAAAAGTTGTGTAGTTATTACACGCAGTATTTAAGTCGGAATGGTCCGGATCGGGCGTCTCCCATACGAAAGATCGAGGAAAAAAATTATCACGCCGTTGTATTTGATCATATCGACTTAATATCTTCAAGATGGTGTTTTTAACTACTATCGAATTTCAAATTAAATTTTATCAAAATTGTGTGACTAAATCTAACATAGAAAAGATTGAAAAATATATATGTATAAAAATAATGGAAAAAAATTATAGTCTTTTTTTTATATTAACATGGCTTTTAGAATTTCGAGTTTTTAACTACCCTTGAATCAAGAAAAAAAGTTCATGAAAATCGGACAATATCATTTAGTTGCCATAGAAAAGATCAAAAAATCTATATAGAGTAAACGAAAATTAAATGATATCTGCTTTTTTTCAACAGATCAGTTTTCTAACGAATCTTGAATTTCAAATAAAGATTCAGGAAAGTCAAAGGACTATATAATATTGCTGTCATATGAATTATAGTTAAGAATATAGAAAATAAAAAAAAATCTTCATAGCTTCGAAGTTTAGCCTTTACGTATTTTGTGCAAGAAATTTAATAACTGCAAGGATAATGTATATCCTTATCTTATATGTAATACGCTTCCTAGGTTTCTTTTTTTTTTTTTTAGACACAAGCTTTTATAAGTTCTAAGTTTTCTAACTAGCCTTGGATCATGAAAAAAAATTCATAAAAATTTGCCTATTACATCACATAGCTGTCATAGGAGCAATTGGTCAAAAAATCTTCATAGCTTTGATATTGTTTAGCTTTTATACATTTTGCTTAACATTTGTGATGACTGTAAGGGTATATAAGCTTCGGCTCGTCGATGCTAGCTTCTTTTAACTTTGATTCGCATGATTGCTTAGTTTAGAACTTTCTACTGAAATTATAGCGTCTGCAAATGTATAAAAAGAAAGCAACAAGCAAACCTGTCTAGAAAATTTATCCTTAATAAAAATTTATTTAATTTTTATTTTTTAGTAAGTTGAGGCGGAATTTATAGTCTTTTATATGGATATGTTTGTTTTGCTTGTCGAGCCGGGATCCGGAAAGGATTTCAAAGGATTTTCCGACCAAATGCACAATCAAGCAACCTAACTGCTATGATTTATTGTTATTTAATAATAACAATAATCGCAAAAATTTGTTACAATTAAGTTTTTTTTTAAACGATCGAAAAATATTTTGGCTTGCCTGTTACTTTTTTAAGACAATATATTATTTACACAACCCAGTCATCAGCAGTCATCAAATAGGTATGTCGAACCAAATACATGGAGCCTAAACAACATCGAAGCTATGTCGATTTTTCTATAAAGTTTCTGTATTTTCGACAATTGTTCATATGAAAGCTGTATGATATAGTCATCCGCTTTTTATAAAATTTAAATCGAAATTCAATGGTCATTAGAAGACTCTATATTTCAAAAATTATGGTTTTCTGATGAAAAACAATGATTTTATAATTTTTTTCCGTCAATTTTCGTCAATTCTATATAGATTTAGATAGAGTTATCCAATTTTGATAAAATTTATTTCAAAATTCGACAATAGTCAAAAACACCGTCTGGAAGAAATCAAGTCGATACGGAGTTATAATATTTAGAAAAGTTTCACCAAGATAGCTTTTCAACTGAGAGACTACTTTGCGTAGATACGGACAGACGGAGAAACGTGCAGACGTATTTCTATTCAGATCGTGATGCTGATCAAGAATATGTATACTTGCTAAAACTTTTTTCTTGGCTACAATAAAATTAAATAAAATTAAAATATAAAAAATAAATTAAAAAATTCATATTGGTGTATAATCATAAGAATAAAGAAATTTGTATACATCTTTTTGTAACCTGCAAAGTTTGCAGAGCAAAGGGTATTATAATTTCTGTCAGAAGTTTGCAACGCAGTGAAGGAGACACCTCAGACCCCATAAAGTATATACAGGGTGCGCCAGCTCGAGCTTCGGTATGAAAATATTGAATAACTTTGGAAAAAAACAAAAATTCATGGAAAATGTTTTATGTTTATTTAGATTGATCCTTTACAATTCATTTTATTCAGTCTTTGAACACAATATTGACTAAGTGACTTCCTTTGTTCTTGATGGCAAAAAGTGTCCTTTTTCAAGCATTTTTCATTACTTTCTTGATCATATCGGCCGATATATTGGCCATTTCGGTGCGAATACTCTTCTTGAGCTCTGTGATGGTCTTGGGCTTGCTTATGTATACCCTACGAAAAGAAATCCGGCGGGGTCAAGTCCGGCGAACGCGCCGGCCAGTCGATATCGCCTCTTTTTGACATTTTGAATTTCGCTGCAAAAACTCCATGGTTTCGTTTGCTATGTGACATGGGACCCCGTCCTGCTGAAACCAGAAATTTTCTAGACCCTTCAAAAACTAACTCAAATGAATTGCAAAGGATCAATCTAAATAAACATAAAACATTTTCCACGAATTTTTGTTTTTTTTCCAAAGTTATTCAATATTTTCATACCGAAGCTCGAGATGGCGCACCCTGTATATTCTTGATCAGCATCACGATCAGAATCCAAATATGTATGTCCGTCTGTCCGTTTCTCTTCAAACTAGTCTCTCAGTTTTAAAGCTATCTTGCTGAATCTTTACCAAAAGGTGTGTAGTTATTGCACGCAGTATATAAGTCGGAACGGGCCGGATCGGCCGACTATATCGGATAGCTCCAATACGATAGAACGAAATAAAAAATTCTCAGGCAGCTGTTTTTGATCGGATCGACTTGATTTCTTCCAGATGGCATTTTCTTACTGCTATTGAATTTCGGATTAAATTTTATCGAAATCAGATAACTCTATCATATAGCTCCCATAGATCAAAATATATATATATATAATGAATGAAAAAAAAATATAACGTCGTTGTTTTTAATCCCACGAGCATGATTTTTGGAACATCAAGTTCTTTAAAGACTCTTAAATCGAGAAAAAAATTTCATAAAAATCAGACTACTTCATATAACTGCCATAGGAAAGATCGAAAAATTTATAATAATAAAATGATAACAACGTTCTTTCTCATCAGACAATCATGATTTTTGCAATATAGAGTTTTCTTATGAGTCTTGAGTTTCAAATTAAATTTCATCAAAATCGGACAACTATATCATATAGCTCTCATAAGAACAATTTGGAAAATTAATAGAAAAATCTTCATAGCTTCCATGTTGTTAGTCTTTATGTATTTTGTTCGACATATTTAATGACTGCAAGGGTATATAAGCTTCGGCTTGCCGAAGCTAGCTTCCTTTCTTGTTTTTTAACAAATGAATTGTGTTATGAATACAGTATTTTTTAGATGTATTTGATAGAAGTGAATGCTTATCGAAGCTGTCTTTTCTGCTTGTAGCAATGATTGTGCATAAAAACTGAAAAAACAAGAAAGGAAGCTAACTTCGGCGAGCTGAAGCTTTCATACCATCGCAGTCATCACAAATGTGGAGGAAAACGTATCAAATTTTCAATATTTTCCATGAGTCGTTAAAACACTCTGCAATTCAGAAGTTCTGCTTGTATTTTAAAAAGCAACGATGTTATAATTTTGTTACATTCATTTTGTGCAGTTTATTTATCTCTCATGTTTCAGCTAGTAGCCTTTTTATACCCTTGCAGAGCACAAGTTTGCAACGCAGTGAAGGAGACACCTCAGAGCCCATAAAGTATATATATTTTAGATCAGCATCACGATCAGAATCCAAATACGTATGTACGTCTGTCCGTTTGTGCCTCTCTTTGTTTCTACGTAAACTAGTCTCTCAGTTTTAAAGCTATCTTGCTTAAACTTTACCAAAAGTTGTGAAGCTATTGCATATATATCGACTTGGTTTCTGCCAGATGGTGTTTTCTAACAACTATTGAATTTCGAATTTAATTTTATCAAAATCGGACAACTATATCAAATAACTGCCTTAGGAAAGATCGAAAAATCTATATTAATTTAACCGAAATCGTCATAGCTTCGATGTTTTTTAGCCTCTATGTATTTTGTACGACGTATATGATGACTGCAAGGGTATATAAACTTCGGCTTGCCGAACCTAGCTTCCGTTTTTTATACCCTTGCAGAGCAAAAAGGTATTATAATTTCAGTCAGAAGTTTGCAACGCAGTGAAGGAGACACCTCAGACCCAATAAAGTATATATATTCTTGATCAGCATCACCATCTGAATCCAAATCCGTCTGTACGTCTGTCCGTCTGTCCGTCTGTTTGTCTGTCCGTCTGTCCGTCTGTCCTCCTGTCGGTTTCTATGTAAACTAGTCTCTCAGTTTAAAAGCTATCTGGCTGAAACTTTCCCAAAAGTTGTCTAGTTGTTGCACGCAGTATATAGGTCGGAACGAGCCGGATCGGCCGACTATATCGGATAGCTCCCATACGAGAGAATGAAATTAAAAATTCTTACTCCGTCGTTTTTGATCAGATCGACTTGATTCCTTCCAGATGGCGTTTTCTAACCAGTATTGAATTTCAGATTAAATTTGATAAAAATCGGATAACTCTATCATATAGCTGCCATAGGAGAGATCAAAAAATATATATATAAATAATGGAAAAAAATTATAACGTCGTTGTTTTTAATCCCACGAGCATGATTTTTGGAACATCAAGTTTTTCAAATACTCTTAAATCGAGAAAAAAATTTCATAAAAATTGGAGTAATATATCATATAGCTGCCATAGGAAAGATCGAAAATCTATATAGAAATAACGGAAATAAAATTATTACCTCGATGTTTTTCATCAGACAATCATGATTTTTGGAATATAGAGTTTTCTTATGAGTCTTGAGCTACAAATTAAATTTTATCAAAATCGGACGACTATATCATATAGCTGTCATATGAACAATATGGAAAATTAATAGAAAAATCGTCATAGATTTGATGCTGTTTAGCCTTTTTGTATTTTGTTAGCCATATTTAATGACTGCAAGGGTATATAAGCTTGGGTTTGCCGAAGCTAGCTTCCTTTCTTGTTTTTTAATGAGTTTTTTTATTCCCTTGCAGAGCAAAGGGTATTATAATTTCAGTCAGAAATTTGCAACGCAGTGAAGGAGGCACCTTAGACCCTATAAAGAATATATATTCTTGATCAGCATCAAAATCTGAATCGAAATCCGTCTGTACATCTGTCCGTCTGTCCGACTGTCATGAGCATGATTTTTAAAATATGGAGTTTTTTAATAACCCTTGAATCGAGAAAAAATTTTTATTAAAATCCGACAACGTTATTATATAACTGCCATAGGAAAGATCGAAAAATCTATATAGAAACAAGAAAGGAAGCTAGCTTCGGCAAGGCGAAGCTTATATACCCTTGTAGTCATCAAATATGTCGAACAAAATGCATAAAGCCTAACAACATCGAAGCTATGACGATTTTTCTATACAGTTTCCATATTTTCGACTATAGATCATATGGGAGCTATATGATATAGTTGTCCGATTTGGATCAAATTTAATTCGTAATTCAAGAATCGTAAGAAAACTTTATATTCCTAAAACCATACTTGCCTGATGAAAAACACCGATGTTATAATTTTATTTCCGTTATTTTAATATAGATTTTTCGACCTTTCCTATGGCGGCTATAAGATATAGTTGTCCGTTTTTTATGAAATTTTTTTCTCAATATAAGAGTTGTTAAAAAACTTGATATTTAAAAAATCATGCTCGTGGGATAAAAAACAACGATGTCATCAATTTATTTCCATTAATTCTATATATATTTTTCGACCTCTCCTATGGCAGCTATAGTATGATAGAGTTATCCGATTTTTATCAAATTTAATCCAAAATTCAATAACAGTTAGAAAACGCCATCTTGAAGAATTCAAGTCGATCTGATCAAAAACAACGGCGTGAGAATTTTTTATTTCATTCTCTCGTATGGGAGCAATCCGATATAGTCGGCTGATCCGGCCCGTTCCGACTTATATAGTGGGTGCAATAACTACACACCTTTTGGTAAAGTTTCAGCAAGATAGCTTTAAAACTGAGAGACTAGTTTGCGTAGAAACGGACAGACGGACAGACGTGCAGACGTGCAGAAGTTTTCCTATTCTGCTCGTGATGCTGATCAGGAATATATATACTTTATGGGGTCTGAGGTTTCTCCTTCACTGCGTTGCAAACTTCTGACTGAAATTATAATACGCTTTTGCTCTGCAAGGGTATAATAACGGAAATAAAATTATAACATCATTGTTTTTCATCAGACAATCATGATTTTGGAATAAAGATTTTCTAACGACTCTTGAATTACACATGAAATTTCATCAAAATCGGACGAATATATCATATACCCGTCATATGAACAATAGTCGAAAATCGTTATAGCTTCGATGCTGTTTAGCTGTATCTTGTTCGACATATTTGATGACTGCAAGGGTATATAAGCTTCGGCTTGCCGAAGCTAGCTTCCTTTCTTGTTTTGTCATACATTTTACTATATCTGCAATTCTTAACTCGGGCATTTTCTTTTTAAAACCAAAACTTTTGTAAACTGTTTATACTGTAGGTGCAATTAAATTTCGAGACTTGTAAAACAACCTGCCATTTTTATTACGTAAATTTATAAATTTTGTATTATAAATTTAAATGCCTATTTATAGGCATGATTTTTTGTGTGGGTTGCGTTTTTAACATCAGAAGCTGAATTGTTCATTCCAACCAAGAGAAAAACTTGCTAAAAAGGTGATATAGTCGACCGAGTTTTTCTGGAGCTTTAGACTTGTATGATTCAGAGCAGTAAAGCTATGCCAACTTCTTATTGTTTTTAAGATTTTGCCTGTCACCAAAAATACAATTTTCTTTGTTTTCAAATACATTGATCTTTTTTAAAAAATTGTGTCAGGCACTTTATTTTCGAATAAAAACAATTGGTTTTAATAACGTTTACCGATTGTCTAATATTTGTATAGCTGAGCTTTGAAATTCGAACTTTATTAAATTACTTAACCCTTTGACGACCACGGGGACACAAAAAGTATCGCGAATTTTGAATTTTTGCGAGTTACCTCGTATCGAATTTCGATTTATTTGTGGCGTTATGTTGGTACTCATGTCTCTAACTTATGCCGACAAGCTCGGCCATTTTGAATGGTCACTAAATTGTTGCTGCTTTGCTTGCACGTGTTTTGGATCGTCTTCGATATTTACCTATTCAAAAAAATGGATCAAAGAACCTGTATCAAATTTTGTGTGAAAAACAAAATTAAGTGAGTGGAGACGCCCATGAAAGGACGACGTTACGCTACGCTTAACGAGATAAAGACGGCATCGAAGGAGGAGCTGAACAAAATAAAAAAAATTAATTTTTCAAGTGCTTCGAAGATTGGAAAAACCGTTGGCATAAGTGCATAATATCTCATGGTGATTACTTTGAAGGGGACAAAATAGATATTCATGAATAAATAAATAATTTTTGAAAAAACACAAAACTCGCGATACTTTTTGAACCCACCTCGTATGTCCCAAGCAAAAAATAAAAGACAGCTAAATAACTATCGTAATAATTAATGTAATTCAGAGTTACAAATAAGAGTATAGTGTATGTCTAAAAGGGACAGAGACTAAAACTTTTTCTTATCTATGGCTGAGCGTTTACAATTTTTGTCAGAAGAACCCTTGCAACTTTGCCAATTTTGTATATACATATACTCGTATGAGCACGTCATTAAGAATTACATTTGAATTGATAATTAAATGGAAATAAATGCAAATAAATATACTTTTAAAAGATATAAATTTTTATGATTTTAGTTATTATTATAATTATAATGATAATTAATTATATATGAGTATACATTGATTAATAATAACCAAAAATGATAAAGTACGCGTACATTGCTCTGCAAACTGTAACATTAAATAAATGAAATGTTTTTTTTAAGTCACGCAATGACTTTGGCTAAACTAACGAGTAGGCATGACGAAACTTCGAGCTAAAATGACAATCCGAAATGGGCACGACAACTCTGGTATAAATGTTCAAATATAGCTTTATCTTCCCCTTAAGGAAACAACATGTTCCCAGGCCACAAACAAAAAATTATTTGCAAATTCTACAAAAAATTCTCTTAAGAGAAAAAGGGAAGTTTCGTGTTGTACGAGAAAAACCTGTCATCCTTCTAACTCAAACGGAGCAGATGGGGATGGATAGAGGCGCATTTGCAATCTATTTTCCACTAATTAATCAAAAATAAGTAAACTGGAGCATCGATGATTCGTGGCGACAGGCTGGGCGAGGCGATAAGAGGTGATATGGGGCATTGAGGGGATGTTGGACGTTGGACGTGAGTACCCCGAATAGTGGAGTCTTCTGCTTGGCGAAGTGCGACATGATGTCTACTCTCAGTGTTCCCCTGATGGCAGAGACACAACATGGGTACATTGTATTCCTCAATGAACGCAGCTCGGAAATGGGCTGCGATTGTATGATCCGAGATGAGCTGGGAAGATTTTTGTAGTCGATTTTTAAATGTCGCGCAGCGCTTTCTGGGAAGGAAAAAAAGCCATTTTCTCTTAATTGAAACGAACTTTTGCTCGGCCTTTTGTGTTCGCCGCCACTGCCTTTAAAAATGAAATGCATCATTTATAAGCACATCCTTCAAGAATATCCCAGTATTTTAGAGCTAAACCATCCTCACTCTTTCTAACCATTAATGCAAACGCCTGTTCTGTTTATTTTATCGAAAACTGTAGCAGCAGAGCGCAAGATTTCTTGGGCCCGGCGCAAGGGAGAAAAGTCCAACGCCACCTGTAGCACATCAAGGGAGCAATCAATGTGGCAGTGCTGCAGGTGCAAATAACAATCACCCGTTGTTCCGCGCATGCTCCTCATCCTCGTGTCCAGATATTTGTGATCACAGTACAAAGCCATTCGGCAATGCATACGGCTCCGAGTCATTTAGAAGGTAAGGACTGTACTTTCACCGTCTCCGAACGATCGAACTGTAATCTTGTTATCCTGCAGCTATGAGACGGCCGATCGCGCCACCTTCGAGGACTCCGCGGCCAAGTTCTCGATCAGTCGCAGCCGAACAGATTGCACAGAGGTCAGCGACGAGACTACGTCGGGCATATCATTCAAAACAGAACCTTTCGGACCGCCCAGCAGTCCAGAGTCTACCAACGATAGCAAAATAACGCGCAACCTCGACGACTGCTCCGGCTGTGGTCGGCAAATCCAGGTGAGACTATTCAGTTGAGCAAAAATCCATTTTACATACGAAAAAAACCAAGATCTGTGCAATAAGAAAATAGTCATTTTTTGGGATTTTATTTAGAATAAAAAAAAAAAAACAAAAAAAGTTAAGATTACGAATAAAAGATTTTGCTATTCATATCAGTGACTAAATATGTTCGGTATTTTTTTTAAATGAATAATTTCAATACGGCAGCTGTGCAGCAATATGCAATGACATCTCTGTATTTGTAGGGTCCACTGACGGACACGTATGTTTGGTTTTTATTCTAATCAATAAAAGGATGAGAAGTACGTATATTCTTTAATATAATAGTTTATTTTGTCCAAATGACTCACTTTTAAAGTAAAAAGTTCAAAATGCCTGACCATACGATAATTGTTAATAACAAGTAAAGTATGCAACAATGTTATATTCAAATTTAAAGTGATGTGAATTAAGAATGGAGTTTGGAGATACACGCGTTAAAGTTTTGACCGCTCACGAAAGGAGACCAGACAGTCAGTGCTCAAAAACGAAAACCGAATACGTATGTACATATTTTTTTTTTTTTGGCCATGTTTTTTGGGGCATTATTTTTGTAGTCTTGGTAGACATTTAAAACAAAACAAAAAATTTTTCGAAAATTCTAGAGTGGCCCCTTAAACGCCATTAACAAAACATCCTCCCGTTCTTTCTAGGATCGCTTCTACCTCTCCGCTGTGGAAAAACGTTGGCACGCCAGCTGCCTACAGTGCTACGCCTGTCGGCAGCCGCTGGAACGGGAATCCTCATGCTACTCACGTGACGGCAACATTTATTGCAAAAACGATTATTATAGGTAAGTCGCCAAGCCAAAACAAAAGCCAGGCCAGAGCCACTCCATTGAGGGAAATTACTATACAGTACGGAGCAGTGACTGAGTCTCCGGCGGTGAGCTTCTGGGAAGATCACGAGGAGGAGACGGGGAACGGGTCTGATGAATCAGATAAAGCCGCGACTGCATGCCAAGACATTGACTAGAAAATGATTTCCAAACACGCGAGTGAAGTATTTATACATGCGGCTGCTTTGAGATCCGAAGCCCGTCATTGTTTTGCACCACTGTGCGAAGGCTGAGCGGGTGCAAACGCGATCGCAAATTCGAATGCAAGTGGAAGCAGACCGCAACGAAGACGCCAGCGGTCCGCCCGTCCACCCATCCGCCCATCCGCTGGCGAAGGGGCCCTGCGTGTGTTCTGCTGTTTGCCTTCCACCGCATTCTCAAGAACGCCCGCTTACCTGCTCACCTGCAGCCCGCTCCCCCACTCATGCCTTCACCCCCGACCTGCCATTTCTTGAGGACGAAGCCCGGGACTTGGGGCTCCACCAGCGTTGACAGTCTTCGCCTGGGTGGCTTTCCCAGCCCACTGCTCCCGCCGCTCGAGGAAGCTGAGACAGCGCGATTTCACGCGTCGCGGCAGTCACGCGAGCGTCCAGAATAAGCAGTTCGAAGTGCATCAGAAACAGGTTATAATTACCCGAAATTTCAGCACTGGAATCTTTGCTATTGTGAGCACGAATCTCTTTTTCCCTTCTAGAGCTGATGTTTCGATTCGGCGAGAGTTCAGTGGCAAGTGGGAAGTGGGTTGGATGGGGTCGGGTCAGGGCAACACCTGTTTTGCCGCAGCAACTCCGTTCCCCGTCCGTTTCGGAAACGCTCTGCTCGGGACCCATTAATCCCATGCAAGTCACGCTCGTCACTCGTATTTCCTCTCAAATGATTCTTGTGACATTTATTACCGCTCCATATTTCAAAATACCCGCCGCCAGAGCGAGAACCGCAGTTGCGACCGGAGCAGCCCGTGTCTGCAAGTTTCTGGGATTGACTGCGGGGCTGCCCGGACTCGGGGTCGCACTAACTATACGGTGCGGGACTGATCCCCAGATTCCAGCGGCGCGACCGCCGCGCTCCGCTGGCATCCGCACAAACAGACGGTCGCAGTCGGGTCTGGGGAGTTGGGGAGTTGGGGAGAGGCGGGGGCCTTGTCATGTCGTACACAATCCACTCCGCCGTAATGTTTCATTTCGTTTCATTCCGGTGCCTCTTGTGCTGCTGCAGGGCATTATCAATCACGGCGAACCCGCGGCTCGATCTGCACAGTCCCCACATTCCCCGTTGATTTATACTGCACATGTCAAATATGACATCCCGGGTCGAGTGGCGCGAAGGGTCTAGCTTGTGTCATGTGCACCGATAACTGGATGGGAGTCTAGTGGGTGTTTGCGGTCTCGCGGCGAATCGAAACTTAATAAACAGCCCCTGACGCATCCAATGAAATAAACCCATGTTTTGTTAATTTTAAGCGCAGAGCGTTTTTTACCACCAGCGCCGCGAAACACATAAACCATCCCATACAAGTTGGCATGCGTGTATACGCATTTCATATAAATTATTATAAATGAGCCTCTATTGCCTGGTAACTTCTTGTTTCGGCCAAATACGCTAAGAAGCTTTAAGTGGTCGCTTTTAATTATAATTTTGTATCTTTCTTGGTGCTGCCCTTTTGAAATAAACGCAATTTTAAGCATTGTTCAAATATAACTAGAAATGTAAATAAAGTTTTCTTTTGTGTTAAAAACAAGAAGAGAAACTTTTTTATTGGTCCCCCGATGTTCTTCGAAGCTCCACTCAAATATAAAGAGCATTTGGCTTCTTAAGAAATTGTTAGTCACTATATGGACGACCGCCGGCAAAACATATAATATCAGTTTCTGCGCTAACAAGATATAGGGCTTACTTATTACAAAGTTCCTCCATTCATCAGATTTTGCTTAGAAACTATAATCAGCATTTTCAAATTTTCGTCGTTTTCATATATATTTTAATTGGTTTAGCCTCAGCATTCCTTAAATTCCTGTTAGTTGATTTCTTTTGCCTTCGGTACATTGCACCAATAGAATAAGAGACATTAATGTTTTCACCCATTATTAAACTTTTTTTAAAGGTAAAACTCTACTTCATAGCTTTTAAAATTGATGCAGAGGAAGCCTTAGACTGCAAGCTTCAATTGTTATTAAATGCATAGAGTTGATATTGTATCATAAGCCAATTGGCAGTCAGCCGCGGCGTGGTTTTGAATAAGCTGACAACTATATTAAGTCACTGTCGTTTTAATTAAGAATTTCGACTGTTGCCCGAAATCTAGCAGACACATACCAATAACCAGGCTTTTAAAAAGTGGGTGTCCCCACATGAAACGCTACTGTTGCCTAGGCCCTTTACAAGGTCCAAGACCGACAGACGTTCACAATTTGATTTTTGTTTTTGAGCTTACAAGCAAATAATTGGACTATTGTGGATTACATTCCCCCGTTGGGTTTTCTACTGATACAGTTTCGCAGGGCTGATATTGCCACTGTCTGCTGGACGTGGTTCCCCACAGCCCACTCCAGGATGACACTCTTCTCTGGTCCACTGTACCTGACTGGCTGGCTGGTACTCGTTTTCCCGCTCGCCAGCGGCGCCCGCTGTCACCTGCATGTGAACACGTATCTGCATATTCCGTAACCCAACCCGCCTTGTTGGTTTCATGTCCATAGGGCCGCCGCCCGACTCTGTCTGGGTCATAAAAGTCCGCGCTGCAAGTGCTTATCTATTGCAATGATGTTGTGCTGATGGCACAGCGGATAAGGCGGCTAAGCCAGCATCAGATTGAGGCTAGGAAGATTCTTTGGCAGCCGTAAAGAGTGTTTCGGGACAGATGCAGTGTCATAATTTTTATTTTATGTGGCACGTCAGAAAGTGGAAACTGGAGTCGGGGCGGGGTTGTCTTATGCTGACTGGATCTGGTTCGTTATCAGAAGGCCTTGCCTTGCCGAGTGCAAGCCTCGGGGTCGATGAAATGTCTTCATCAGCACTGGAGACGAACTCTGTCTACGCCTCGTAAAGCACTCCACCAATTTGGTAAGGGTTGACCAGAAAAGTAGGCAAGTGGAAGAAAAAGTTTGGCATAAAATATTTACAGTTTAAAAAGTCAGCGAAGCGCGACCATTTAATTGTGGCTAGTAGGAGCAGGAGACTCGAGCACCGAATTTATGGCCCCTCTTAAGTCGTGGGTTATGCAATAAAATATTTTCTCTGACTCTCAATCAAGAGAAGAGTGGAAATGCCTGCAGAATTCATTAAATTGAGAGTAGAAAGGCCTTGCATAGCACCCACTGAAGACTCTGCGTGATGAAACTGGATTTTGCAATAAGAGCACATGAGCTGAACGGTTCAATCTCACGTTGCCTTTTTACACGGTTTTTTATGTTCTAGTCACCGCCCCTAAGTGCTCAAAACGGTAGGCTCCAGCGTTAGCAAGAGGCTAAAATCTCATCAAAGAGCTGAGCAAAAATTGGATGTGTTGATTTGGCTGCAGAAACATGCATCCAGCGCACACACTATCACGACCGACGAAAAGGCTGAGAAAAGCGCAGTATTTATACTTTATAGGCACTTGTCGGCAGGCTCGTATAGCGCCGCTCTACCACAAAAATCCAGACACTGGGACGAACTGGCCAGCAGAGCAATTCAAATTTTCACGAATGAAATGTTGGGAGTCCAGGCGCTACTCAAACTTATTGCCATAGCTAGTCTGAACTTAAACAACAAAGAAAAGTTATTATTTCGTGAAAGCATGAAAACTTTATTTAAAAATTCAATAAGTTACGCTTAACTTGGGTATTTAAGTGAAATATATAAAAATCACAATTCTGTAAAAAAAAGGTTTTGTCTACATATCGTAGTTTTTATTGCTCCGTCTTATTATGGTACTCGCACGAATACTCTAAAAAAAATGCTTACTTGATAGGTAATGACTATTCGGTATATTTGCGATTTAAAAATACGTAAAAAAGCTTTTTAAAAGTTTTAGAGAGGTGAGACTGGTTACCACTCGACGAGTACGAATGGGGCTAGCCGCGTTGCGCAGAACATTGCAAAAAATTGTACGAGTTCCGCAAAAACGCTTTTTATACATAAAAAATGAATTCCGAATTGCGCAAAAAGCCGATTACGGTAAAAAAAAAAACATCCGAGTTGCGCTAAACCGCTCTTTTTCACATTAAAAAATATAATAATAATATAATAAATATAACTTATATTATATTACAGGATATTTTAGTTACTGGGGCGCCAAGATTTTTTTTATTCGAAAAGTATTTACTAAAATCTGAAAAAACAACTTTTTTTTAGAAAAATTACTTAATTAATCTATACCATTTGTAAATTAAGTAATTTTTCTAAAAAAAAAATAATCTAAAAACTCAAAAAATAAACTTATATTGAATATAATATATAATATAATAAAAATAATATAACTAATTATTTTGATCAAGTAAGCGTTTTCGTGCGACTCGGTACTTTATTTTTTACCGTAATCGGCTTTTTGCGCAACTCGGTATCGCCCGTACGAATACATAGAAATACCGGAGGTATCGAAATGGCATTATAAAACCCGCTGTATGAACGATAAGTTAAATCAACTAATAAATTAAAAATGCCATTTTTTAGATCCCTGTTTTGATTAGTTGGAATTATCATATAAAAATAGTCTAACGATGCCGAAAATTATTTTTCGTAAAAAAAAATAATTGCAGGGCGGCCTAGATGCATCCCACTGTGACACTACCGAGCCACCACCAATTGCCGCATCGCAGGTCGCTCGCTTGGCTGCGCAACGCCTTAACTTGGCTTTCAGCTGGCGTTCGGTGACTTGGCCTGGGAACAAGAGCATAAACTTATGAACTGCCTGATAATTAAAATGTTTAATGGGCATCTTAAGAAATGATTTTACGCCGAATTTATGCGCGAGGGCTTCATTCAAAAATGACAAGAGAAAATACCAAAGTAAGAAGAAGATCTGTTCCACCGGCCAGAAACCAACAATGGGTGCTAATCTAATCAGCTTGCCTACAAAATTACACAATTTCAATGGGGTCGGGACTGGGTTTCTTGGAACCCGGATGAGTCCTATTAAAGAACGCTTAGAAATGCAAATGCGAGGCCTAATGAAACTGTTTAGCAGTCGGCCTAATCGCTCAATGGCTGAGCCAGAAGCCACTTTGCGGAGACCACTCCACATTCCACACTCCACAGCAGGGGCAGGGTCAAGGGCTTAGCTTATCGCACGCACAAGTCCAACAGACATCAATCGAAACTAATTTTCCAGTGCATTAAACATTTAAAAAACACAAATCTTTTTCCTAAACTCTTATATATCGGTTTAGAGCTTGCAGTTGTTGTCACAACAAAAACAAACAAACAAAACTAAAATGCAAATAATCAATGCATTCGTTTGGCCAGCCGAAGGCGGAGGGCCTAGAATCGAATTATCGCCACGGGATGTCATCATCATCCGGGAAGTGGGGAGAAGGTTTAGGGTTGGGACTAGGGGCAGGACCGCTGCTCTCGAAGCGGTCTCACGATAGCTTGCAAACGGGAAGGGAAGCGTTGCTTTCGGTGGTGGGGTGGCGTCTGGGAAATCCGTGGTTGCTGTTTCTGGCGAACTTGTACATGTGTAATCGGAAGAGCCAATCCCAGCGGGTGGTACTTGAGACCTCATCGTGCAATCCCTCAACGCGTTATAAATGCTCTCACGTTACAAAACGTGGCTGCCATGTCCCTGTTCGCCTTGGTTCCCTCACGAGCCCGGTGTTATCACGGCGTCCAGCCGAGCCACACGTCGGTTTGCATTTCAACGTGCACAGCCCTGCTCACTCGCCCTCCGAACAGAGCCCAGCTTCTGTCAAGCCGCGGAGTTTTTATCCGGGATTTTAGCCTACGGTTTGACTGGGGGACTTCAGCCCATTGAGTGGCCGACAGTGGTAATGACAGGTGGAGCTCGCAGCTTTGGCTACGGACAAGATTGACGTCGAAATGCTGCTGATCTGTTTAATCTTAGTATTACTAAGAGACGAGACTTAACGTTAACCTGTACGATTTTTCTTCTCTCTAAACAGACATTGGCACCTCCCAGTCTAGATTCAGACTAACGAGAGTAGCAACCAGAAGCTCTCACAAAGACAGTCACAGCTAGTATGACATATTATATTATTTTTATACCCTTGCAGAGCAAAAGGGTAATATAATTTTAGTCAGAAGTTTGCAAAGCAGTGAAGGAGACACCTTAGACCCCATAAAGTATATATATATTTGATCAGCATCACGAGCAGAATCGGAAAACGTCTGTACGTCTGTCCGTCTGTCCGTCTGTCCATCTAGCAACCTAGTCTCTCAGTTTTAAAGCTATCTTGCTGAAACTTTCCCAAAAGTTGTGTAGTTGTTGCACGCAGTATATAAGTCGGAACGGGTCGGAACGGGCCGGATCGGGCAACTATATAGGATAGCTCCCACACAAGAAATTGAAATACAAAATTCTAACGCCGATCTCTATCATATAGCTGCCATAGGAGAGATCGAAAAATATGTATATACATAAATAATGGAAATAAATTGATAACATCGCTGTTTTTATCCCACGAGCATGATTTTTTGAATATCAAGTTTTTTAACAACCCTTAAATTGAGAAAAAAGTTTCATAAAAATCTGACTACTATATTTTATAGCTGCCATAGGGAAGATAAAAAAATCTATATAGAAATAACGGAATTAAAATTATAACATCGTTGGTTTTTATTTGATAAGCATGATTTTTGGAATATAAAGTTTTCTAACGACTCTTGAATTACGAATTAAATTTGATCAAAATCGGACAACTATATCATATAGCTGCCATATGATCTATAGTCGAAAATATGGAAAATTAATAGAAAAGTCGTCATAGCTTCGATGTTGTTTAGCCTTTATGAATTTTGTTTGACATATTTGATGACTGCAAGGGTATATAAGCTTCGGCTTGCAGAAGCTAGCTTCCGTTCTTGTTAAATCCAACATTTATTACCATTTTCTTTTGGTATGAAAAAAAATGTTAACAAAATTTATATGTTTTGGCCTGTCCTTCTTTTGTCATGAAATATCCTTTAAAATATCGGTTCGGATAACGTTTGCTATACCGATACCGACTAGATATATATATAAATATAGTTTTAATATATCACATATATATCCAAAATATACCATTGCAAAGCAGTTCTAAGATATTTTTTCTCAAATTTATTATTATTTACCAATGCTTAGACAAAAGGCTAGGAACGATTTAATTTGGGTTCAGAGCACGCCACACATTTTAAGTGCATCTTCGGAGGGCAGCGAAAACCAGAGCGTCCAGAATGTGTGTGAGAGTATCAAATTTCGAGAGCTCGAACACATAATCATATATTAGGCGTTGTCACTTTGACATTTCGCCTGCTCCTTTACATGGCAATAATAATAATTCATTATTCTCGCGCTCTCTCCCTCGCGCTCCGGATCGGAGAAGAGGCGTGTCAGGGCGGTGGAAGTAGCTTGCAATGAACTGAACTTCACTGAAACTGCGGCCTGGGACAGTTTATGAGTTGGTAGCTGGGACCGCGTCGCCGTCCTCAGAATACATGTTTAATATTATTTATGGGGCTTACGTATCGCGCAGCAGCACAAGGTACATATTCCTACAGACATACAGACGTACATGTACACATCTGAGGGCCTTTTTGGAGACGGAACCGAGTGAAAGATCGGACAAGAGTCACAGTCGCACCGACTCGTGTAGCGACAAGATGTGCGACATGGGGATGTGACAAAAATCTCGGTGTCACATCCCAAACAATTTTCAACAAAATGAAAACAGACGCAGAACGGGAACTGGAACGGGAATGGGAGTGGGCTTTGAATTGGAGGGGAAATGGAAGTAGGATGGAAATGCCTCTGAAATGCGTCCCGCGTGAATATGATAAATTCGTATAGAATTGAAAATTGGCTTGGTGTTCACTGGTGCCCAAAGTATCTGGCTTAGTCTCGTAGGATCGGCCCCAGCACACCAAATGTGAGAATGAGTTTGTTGAGCGTCGTTGAAACTAAAGCGAAATGCGCCAATTATTTTGATTAATGTCAAAGAAATCGCGTGTCTCGCGTATTTGATGTTGGTCCTTACCTAACCCCTGCAACTGCGAACGGAATTCCCGCTCTCCGAGACTCCTCCCAAGCTGCTGGCTCTCTGGCTCATTTATGGCACGAAGGCAACAACTCCCCAATGATTACGGACGGATGCTGGTAATCTTTGATCTGTCATTTGCGAAAGTGAAAACAGTAGCCGGCGATGGACGAAACCGTACCAAGACGAAGGTGCAGACAATCATCATGGGATGACTATAAAATTTACGATGAGTAGGCGTTTGTGGGCAAGTCATTGGGCTTACTTGTATTGGTCTGTGCCGACGTTGGGTTGTGATTACTGCCAACAGGCAGTAGCGCGCAGCTTCCTGCCAACCATATGATTACTGATTCTGTGGGGGAGCCCTGCCCGTCTTTGTGCTCCGATTTTTTCGACATCACGCCACATAATTGCGCATGTTTTTATGGTCGGGCAGCCAGACTTTGTCCCGGCCTGTAAATATTTCTATGATCTGAATGATATCTTATTATCAATGTTCTCCTCCGCAGTTTTTTTGGTACTCGCCGTTGTTCGCGCTGCCTGGCCTCGATCAGCTCAAATGAGCTGGTGATGCGCGCCCGGAACCTGGTCTTTCACGTCAACTGCTTCTGCTGCACCGTCTGCCACACGCCCCTCACAAAGGGAGACCAGTACGGCATAATCGACGCACTTATCTACTGCAGGTAAGCCGCCTCCGCAGCTCCACGAAATCCGAAATCAAAAAGCTCTCCCCCAGGACCCACTATAGCATAGCGAGGGAGGGCGACGCAGCCTCGTCGAGCATGAGCGCCAGCTACCCATATAGCGCCCAGTTCGGCTCGCCGCACAACGACTCCTCGAGCCCGCACTCGGACCCTAGTCGGAGCATTGTTCCTACGGGCATCTTCGTGCCCGCGTCCCACGTCATTACTGGACTGCCGCAGCCAGCCCGTCAAAAGGGCAGGCCGCGCAAGCGCAAGCCCAAGGACATCGAGGCGTTCACCGCAAACATAGGTACGTTGTAAATTCCCAGCTCTTTCGCGATGGCTGTCCGCCATAAAAGCGGCAACATGCGGTCGGATTTTTATGGCCACAGCACATCGGATCTGGAACCGCGGCTAAAGCTGAAAGCTGGCGCCAATGGAGCTACAGCAGCAGCTTTTATGTGCATCCCTCATAAAACTCGGGGGCCCCGTCAAAATCGAAAAAGACTACAAAACTCGTTGGATTGATTGCAGATCTCAACACCGAGTACGTGGACTTTGGCCGGGGATCACACTTGAGCTCCTCGTCGCGGACCAAGCGCATGCGCACCTCGTTCAAGCATCACCAACTACGCACTATGAAGTCCTACTTCGCCATCAATCACAACCCCGACGCCAAGGACCTGAAGCAGTTGTCGCAAAAAACCGGTTTACCAAAAAGAGTCCTACAGGTGAATGTTCTCCCGCTAAGCCCAACTGCTCCGGCCCGAACTCGCCAACCGATGACAGTCGCTCACTGACAGCTCTCTCTCCCCGCAGGTCTGGTTTCAAAACGCTAGGGCCAAGTGGCGCCGCATGATGATGAAGCAGGATGGCAGCGGCATGCTGGACAAGGGCGACGGCGCCCTGGACCTCGATAGCATCTCGGTGCACAGTCCTACATCATTCATTTTGGGCGGCCCGAACAGTACGCCGCCCCTCAACATGGACTAACGGCTGCTTAGGGGAAGCGGAAAAGGGATAGTAGTGGAAAACGAAAATGGCGCCGAGTTCAAATTCCAAGTCGTACGTCCGTATCCAAGCTGCCACTTCGCAAGCCACAGTCGGAGTCCAGGACCCAGTCCGTGCGGCGGATCTGGCACGAAGAACCCTTAAACGGCACCCGCGCTTTGGATACTTAGAGTCCATCCAAATCACTGTATTTTGGATAGAGAGTGCCGTCTGACGAGCTGCTGTTAAAGTGCGCATAAATTATGTAATTGCTTCAGGGCCATTGCCTGTACATCGGAACAGGCTCTTGCCTCCCATGTTGTTTCTATAGATCTATCGTTCATTTGTAAATATGTACTAGAATCGTATAGCTTATACACTTACGTAGACACACAAATATTGTTAATTTATTATTATTATTTATAGTGTTTACGTCATTATGTATGTACATAAAGTGCGTATATCTTCTTAAAATGATATGCATATACGTATTTATATGTATTTAATATTTATTGCCCCAATTTAATAGTTAGAGATGAATTTAGTTTAGCGAGAACAGTCTATATAAAAAAGTGCATGTGTACATGTAGTATTATGATAAACTATTAGCTTCGCCTACGCTGACAGACAGACATTTGAGAGCTATTAAGTCGAAGCTGTCATAAAGTTATGAGCAATGGTGTATACTGGAAGCACTGAACACAGAGAGATTTGTACTTATAAATAGTTTATCAGTAAGTCTTATCATAGAAGCCAAATAAAAATTATCAAAACAATGGTTTCCTATTTTACTTACTTTTTTACTGGCTTTCCCAAACATAAAATAAATTTTCTGGAAAATCCACAGCTTTGAAATAATAATAATTTTGGGGAATTCCGATTGTTTGTGGATAATCCAGCTCAAAAAGTCTAGGGGCTATCTAATTAAAGGAACACTAAGTTTTTTAATTTTTGGTTAATTTTCTATATATTTGACAGTTGTTCAAAAAGTATCGCGAATTTTGTGTTTTTTCAAAAATTATACACTTATTTTATTCATGAATATATATTTTTTCCCCTTCAAAGTAATCCCCATGAGATATTATGCACTTGTGCCAACGGTTTTTCCAATCTTCGAAGCAGTTAAAAAAATCATTTTATTTTATCTGGTTCAGCTCCTCCTTCGATGCCGTCTTTATCTCGTCAAGCGTAGCGTAACGTCGTCCTTTCATGGGCCTCTCAGTTTAGGAAACAAGAAAAAGTCACAGCGGGCCAGATCTGGGGAAAACGGTGGATGGGGCATCATGTGTGAGCAGGGGCGTTATCGTCCGGGCGTTTTTTGGCGGATTGCTTCGCAAAAATTGCGCATAACTTGCAGGTAATATTCCTTATTGACCGTTCTTCCCTGTGGCAAGAACTCATGATGCACCACGCCCCTGCAATCGAAGAAAACTGTCAGCAAAACTTTCACATTCGACCGAACTTGAAGTGCTCGGGTGTCCGGCACGCTCTTCGTCGTTCGGCCTTCTGAGAACATTCTGTACCACCGTACATCTCCGTATGCCACAGTCAACATTCGAAATGCATCCACGCACTTAATTTCGTTTTTCACACAAAATTTGATACAGGTTCATTGATCCATTTTTTTGAATAGGTAAAAATCGAAGACGATCCAAAATACGTGCAAGGAAAGCAGCTGTCACAGTTAAGTGAACATTCAAAATATCCGAGCTTGTCGGCATAAGTGAGAGACATGAGTACCAACATAACGCCACAAAAAAAATTCGATACGAGGTAACCCGCGAAAATTGAAAATTCGTGATACTTTTTGAACACACCTCGTACTACAGCTATATGATATAGTGGTCCGATTTTTATGAAATTTAATTCGAAATTCAAGATTCGTTAGAAAATTTATAATTATAATTTTATTTCCGTTGATTCTACATACAGTCAGCACACAATTTATTCGGACACCCGTGATTTCCAATCTTATTCATTAATAACTTAACAAATATACAACGAAAACAAAAATTTTATATTTCATATTGAGGAATAACATTTTTAACATCTTTTTTAAAAACTAAATAAGAAACTTTTAACGTTAATACTAAAAAATATTCCAAAATTAACTAAAAAGTCTTTTTTTTCTCGCACAAAAATTATTCGTACACTTCCGAAAATCGATATAAAAACATTATTTTTTCAGTGAAATTTTTTTTTAATATTTTGTGGGTCCTCCCTTAGCATCTATTACAGCTTGTAAACGTCGACCCATGCTGTTCACCAATTTGGATGTCTCGTTAGCGCCTATCTTACTCCATTCCGTTTGCAATGCTGTTTTTAGGGATTCCTTTGAGGATACACTGTGCGTTCGTATTCTTTTTTCAAGTAGGTTCCATACGTGTTCTATAGGGTTTAAGTCTGGAGATTGGGGAGGTGTTTTGAGCTGTTTGCAGTGATACAAGAGCCATTCTTGCACCAAATACGAAGAATCCTTTGGGTCATTATCTTGTTGAAACAGAAATTTTTTTGGATCAAGTCCAAGTTTTAAAACGCTGGGAATCAAATTTTTACTAAGAATATCCGTATACATCATTTTGTTCATTTTATCTTCTATGAAAACCATTTCGCCGACTCCACAAGAGGCTATAGTTTACTCCAAAAACGCTCCGAAGCAGGGCTCTTTTCAGACACCTAATTCGGAGCCTTCCTAACTTTGCATGCTGGGTACACACCCCCAAGCCATCACATTTCCGCCACCATGCTTAATAGTTGGTATTAGGTTTTTTCTTTCAAGGCTTCGTTTGTCTTTCTCCATACTTTGGGAGGACCGTCGTGTCCAAATATATTGAATTTGGATTCGTCACTGAAAACTACGTTCTGCCAAAGCGATTCCGGCTTGCTGACATGCAGTTTTGCGAAATCCAAACGGTTTTTTTTGTTAATGGTGGAAATGAAGGGCTTTCGACGAGCAACTTTACCGTGTAAACCAGCATTGTGCAGGTAGTTGCGGATGGTTTGGGCGCAAACTTTTTTTGCGTAGCTTCCTCTAGATTCTTTCGAATTGTAGAAGATGTTGATTTCGGGTTTTGTAAAACTGAAGACACAACTTTTCGCTCCTCGCGTGGGCAGGGCCGTAGCTAGCATGGGGCGGTGCCCCGCCGGGGCCCCTTCTTATCGACCACTTTTTTAGTTTTGAAAAAGCCTTACCATGGCTTTCGGACTTTCTGAATGTGCTTTAAATGGATCACAATAGTCTAACAAAAAAAAAAAAATTCTAAATTTTTTACAGTTTTATTAGATAATGTACAAAACAACATGTTTTCGCTTTATTTCAACATATCTCAGTATCTCATTTGGTAAATACCATTAAAAACGTGTTACGAACTGCTTATTTGGGTGGGCAGTGCCGCTAGCTCAGCGATCTCTTTTTGGGCCGAATTCTCCCCAATGCCCGCAGTCCGACAACATAAACAAACAACATCGATTACGGTCGTCTCACAACACTAACTTTCTGCGATCACTAACAAAATGTAAACAAACAAAAAATTAAATTCAAAACATTAACTTAGGCGACGGAAATTCTTGGACCTTTGAGTGGCCTTTGGTGTCCTGGCCATTGCGTACCCGCCCTACCTAGGATGTTTCGTAAGCATTTATTAAAACATCGCCCATAATGGGTCAGTAAGTCACTCCAGGCAACTAAATTAACTCCATCTCCCCCACAGAAAAAGGTCTAGCAGTTCATCATCGTTATAAACTGGTTTTAATTATTCAGGTGAGTGTGATTAACATAGTTTCTATTATTTATCTAATCAAAAATTTAATCACATACAGGCCCCAGGATCGCTAATCGACCGCCATCGTAAAATTTAGCGGTCAAAGCTAATTTTTAAGAAAAGGACCGGAAATTTTCTGCCACCCTTATATCGGCAGAATTCTTTTGTTAACGCGGCTTAAAATTAGGGTCACCTAATCCTGAAGAGCTCCACGGGAAAAGAAGGGACGCCGAACGGTAAGTGATATCTCTATTTTATGCACAATCCTTTAATTTATTTCAGCGACCTATTTGGTTCCCGAAAAACGTCGGTCAAAAGCAAAACTTGGGACAAGACGTACATAATTAAATTGCACAAGCTGGTAAGGAGACTACTTATTAATTAAACATTTTACTAATTCGATTCTAATTGTAGGACTTTATACGCAGATGCAGCCTACCAAGGGACCGCAGCGATGCACCGTGAGGTTAAGAGGACTGGCTGGCCAATTAGGAGGCGTCAGCAGCTCTCGGAGGAATTTGTTGTTGAGGAACACAGTTGTAGTCACTCCGACTAGGAACGGACTCACCGGCACTTTAATTCCTGCGTGATCCAGTTATAATTTCTCTGTCAAAACTTGTACTGCATCCAAGCCGAAATGTTCTTCCGAAATAAAATAAATCTGTTTGAACTCCAACAAAAATGTATTTGTACTCTCGAAGAAAACGGAAGTCGGTCTTCTCCAAAAACAAATGTATTCAAAAAATTGGCCTCCTTTGAAAGGAAATGTGTTTTCCAAAGAATATTTGGTTCTCCTCCAGCAATAGCTGCGTGACCTCAAAAGGAAGGTTTCTCCAAAAAGAACGTGTTGCTCAAGAAAAATGTGGCTTTTCCAGAAATGTATTCCTTGCCAAAAAAGTGGTGCCTCCTTCAAAAATATGGTGTTCTTTGAACAATGTGGCTTCTCCAGAAATATTTATTGGGTTTCTTCAAAAAAAAGAATCCCGGGGCCCTTTATTATGGGACCCCGGGTTCCCTAAACAAAAATAAACATTTCATTTTTACAAAAGAAAACTACAAAAAAAAACTAACTCACTTTTCACAAAAGTTTCACAATGCCACTACGAGTACAAATCCCCGTCCTCCACGCCTGTCTTTTCCGATACTACTAAACTCTGATCCGCAATATCACGCCATGTGCCCTACCATCTCTCCCAGGCTCTCTCGAAGATGGGTCAACGGACATCCCCAAGGCCATCTAAGAGAAATCCTAAGCCCAGGTTACATGTTTACATTTTACATGATCTGCCCAAGGCCCAAAGGTGGCGCTGCCCTAACCATCGCTATTTGATCTAATCTATCGATAGCTCCTCCTGGAATCGACTCCAACTGCAACAAACGCCACTTTCTCGCTTTGCAAGCCGCAAATTCGTCGATCGCTTGGCTGAAATCGATCTTTCTTGCTCGCTCATTTTTAATCGATAATAATGCCAATCCACACAATCTTTTTGCTTCATTCTCTTTCTTTCGTTTTGCCTCTCTTTTTTTCGCTCCGCTGGGATAGATACGTTTCATCGCGCAAGTTAACAATTATATAATTGTACGCAGAATAATTATACAATTGTCTGATACTATTGTTTGTCAATAGCACCTCAATTGAGCAGCTGATTCGCGTCAATCGAGGTATCGAACAGTGTTCGCTCCCATAGGAGAGATCAAAAAAAAAATATATATATATAAATACAGTCGAATCCCGATAATTCGTACCCCGCTAAATCGAAAATCGCGATAATTCGTAAAAATTCCGTTTCCTTGAAAAAGAAATCTCGATAAATCGAATTCCCGTCTAATTCGTAAAAAAAGTGATCCCCTTGCCATTTCGAATTATCGGGACTCGACTGTAATGGAAAAAAAATTATAACGTCGTTGTTTTTAATCCCACGAGCATGATTTTTGGAACTCAAGTTTTTTAAATACTCTTAAATCGAGAAAAAATTTCATAAAAATCAGAGTACTATATCATATAGCTTCCATAG